GCCCTTCAATCTACTGGAACTTGGTCTCTAGTTCCCTCATCACCATCTCAGAATGTGGTAGGTTGCAAATGGGTTTTTAGAATCAAGAAGAAGCTTGATGGTTCTGTTGATAGGTATAAGGCACAATTGGTTGCCAAAGGTTTTCACCAACAAGAGGGACTTGACTATCAAGAAACCTTTAGTCCTGTAGCAAAGCCTGTTACTATTCAAATTTTATTAAACTTTGTTGTTCAATTCCATTGGTTTCTGCATCAGCTTGATATTAGCAATGCCTTTCTCCATTGAGACTTGAAAGAAGAGGTGTTTATGCAACAACATCCTGGTTTCACTGATCCAAATATGCCAAATCATGTGTGTAAACTCAGAAAGTCCTTATATGGACTCAAACAGGCTCCTAGGGCATGATTTGATAAGTTTTTTCAAGCTCTTAAGTCATTTGGTTTTACTCAATATGGCTCGGATGTATCTCTTTTTGTTATAAAGGAACTTGTCCTTGTTATATTTTTGGTTTATGTAGATGACATCTTGGTTAGTGGTTCGAACTCTTCTGTGTGTAATCAGTTTATCCAGAAACCCAGTTATCTTTTTCTAGTCAATGACTTAGGTCCTCTTCAGTACTTTCTGAGATTACAAACTCACAGAACCCCACAATGTTTATTTCTTCATCAAGGAAAATATCTTCTGGATCTCTTGCAGACAACAAAAATGGAAGATGCTAAGCCATGCTGACACCTCTTGGTACTACTAAACTGGATCACATTGGTATTCCCTTATCCAATCCTACTGAATATAGATTTCTTATGGGTGTTTTACAGTATTTGACATGGACTCGGCCTGATATTTCTTTTGTTGTAAATCAAGTAAGCCAATTCCTGCATACACCTACTGATCTTCATATGCAAGCTGCCAAAAGGATCCTCAGATTTCTCAAAGGCACCTCATCTTATGGTTTGTGGTTTAAGCATAATAATCTCAATCTCTCAGCCTTCTCTGATGCAGATTGGGCTGGTTGTATCTTTGATAGAAGATCCACCAGTGGTTTTTGTGTGTTTCTTGGATCCAACTTAATTAGCTGGAGTGCTAAGAAACAACCTACAATGGCTAGATCTTCCATTGAGGTAGAATACAGGTCTGTGGTTCACACTGCAGTTGAAATAACTTGGATATGCAAGGTTTTACATGATTTTGGCTTTCCCTTATCTTTCAAACCTAAAATCTGGTATGACAACATTTTTGCTATATCTTTTGCGTCTAATCCTGTTTTCCATGCTCGAACCAAGCATGTTGAAATTGATTATCATTACATTAGGGAATTAGTACTTGCTAATCTAGTTCAAGTTCAATATGTGTGCAGTGAGGATCAAACAACAGATATTCATACTAAGTCTTTATCCAAGAACATGTTTCTTCTTCTTCAATCCAAGCTATCTCTTGGAACTCCAACTTCTTTCAAGCTCAGCTTGAAGGGGTGTAAAGACGAGGATGCCAAATCATGACATATATTTTGTTTTAGTTAACCAATTATAGTCTACCATGTGTAATAAATTTGTTTAGTTTGTTAGAAAGAATAAATAGCTAAGGCTATATATATGACTATTGATGTAATTTTCATTCATTCAATGAAAGAGGAATATTCAGAAAATATTGTGTTCTTAGTTTTCTATACTTGAATCCTAGTTTGCCTCATGTGCGCACCCACTAGACTCCCGCCATGGATGCTCTAGATTTTGCCATCACTGTCACTAGCCATCTTGTGTCTATCATACACGTTGAGGTGTGTTTCTAATATAAGAGGGCGATGACACCTTGATTTGTATGATAGACACGAGATGGTGGTAGGAAAGACTTCATTGGGGAGACACACAAGTTTTGTCAAATGGGAAGATTTGACTTTGGACCTGCAAGATTTTCAACACCAACAATGACAACCATAAGGTTTTATATGCATATCAAATTAATAACATAAACATGCACACATGATATGCATGGTATATGCACATTATATGCTCAATCTACATAGGATGTGCAGTCTTTCATATGGATCAAATTCAACCATTGTTCTAAAAATTCCCGCTATCGCCGCCTAGGCGCTAGGCGGCTGGTTGCCACTTTGATTAATGCCTAGGCATTTGAAAATTAAGAAATGGTGCCTAGACCTGCTGAGGCACCTGCCTAGGCATTCATCTAGCCCGCCCAGACTCGCCTACTCATTTAGACAGAAAATAGATAACTTCCAATTTGCATGTTACTTTTTTCAATGAATTGTAAGAGACTTGTTGAATAATTAAATGAACACACATTATATGTTTGTTCCCCATGTTTTCATTATGTTTCAATACTTCATAATATATATGTGAATCAGTTTTGTAGTTTATGATGAAATTATATATATTTATATAAACAGACACTTATTTACACAAAATATAATAGATTTATTTAAATCTGCCTAGTCTGTCTAGGCCCTGCCTAGCTGCCTAGGCACTAGGCTCCAACTTGTCGCTTGACTAAAGCCTAACGTCTTTTATAATCTTGAATTCAACCAATTCATGAACCAAATTCAAGCAAGTATACCAAACATCTACACCATCTAACCAACGTACAACTTAACCAATTAATTTCCAACAATATCATATGAACATGCACACAATATGCACAAATGAAAATTGAAAAGAGATTGAACAAACCATGAACAATTAACACATTGAGGTGTCCTTCTAATATAAGAGGGCGATTTCAAAAGATAAGCTAAAGAAATTTGAGAATTCTTGTTTTGGTCATCTTGTTGACGTGGACTACATCAGTTGGTTTGGGCAGCTGAACCATTATGCTATCCTTAGGGTTACTAAGGATACAGTGATTGGCGATTCCATATCTTTCCTATTTGGGGAAGATGTTGCGACTTTCGGGAGTTGCGAATTCTGGTTGATCACTGGACTAAAGTGTGGAAAGTTCCTGCCAAAAGAGAATGAAGATGAATGTCGTATAAGAGAAATGTATTTCAGGGGAAAGAAGAAGATATTGCTGAAATAATTGGAAGGCCAATTCAATGGCTGCCAAAACCAAGATGATATGTACAAGATGGGGTTACTCTACCTCATCCATTTCGTTCATTTTAAATATCTTAAATATCGAGTGTGTTGTAACGTGCACTTGTTGTTTTGTGGTAGGGCGGACTACAAAGTTTTCTTGCTTAAATTTGTTGACTACCTATCCACCAGCTTGACCATCTACGACGTCATTTCAAAGAATATGGGGTTTTTTAGACTGAAGCTTGCAATCAATTTCATGCAAGCTAGTGTGTTTTTGTGAAGTCATATCCCGACAACATTTATTTGACTACATTTTTTTGTTAAATTTTGCAATTTGGTTTGTTTTAAGTTTCATACACTTTATGGTTTATTTGCTTAAATGTTATCATAATTTTTGTACTTAGCGGATCGGTGTTTGTCTTACCATGTGCATGTTTTCATAATTTTAGTACTTAGTGGATCGGTGTTTGTCTTGCCATGTAAATGTTATCGTAATTTTAGTAATTTCAGTATGCAGTATGTATATCATGTGCATGTGTTGAGCATGCAATGTGTATGACGTGCATCATTTGAGCATGTTTTGTGCATGTCCCACAGGCCTATTTTGTCCCAAAATTAAGCAAATGACTCATTTCCTGATAATAAATTACATAGATATTATTGAACTAATGAAACATTACAGTCATTCTTATGACAAACCGCACATGGAATGTTGAAATATAAGAAAATTTGAAGGACGCGCAAAAGATAACTTTGAACTAATGAAACATTAAGGTTCTTCTTATGACAAACCACACACGGAATGTCGAAATATAATATAAGAAAATTTGAGGATGCAAAAAAAGTGTTCAAATTATCCCTAACACGAAAGAATCGTAGAACAATTTAGCAAGTGCCTCTAACGGCAAGTGCCTTGTAGTAGTCAATAGTCGCCCACTTTTTGTTGACATCCACTTTAATTTCATAGCGGCAAAATATATCTAACCCCTCACACAGTTCCAACCGATAGTTTGTATTACTAACCCATTACGTCAATGTACACAATGAATGACGTGAAATTCTCAATCTCTTTTTCCACGATCATCTTCACAGGTCGTGGGCAACAAAACCACAAAAGAACCCCAATCAAAACATGAATCAATATTATTGTTGAGTCAGAACCCAATTCAGATGCACAAAATGGAAATATATTTCTTATTTCTGATGGTTAAAAACTACCAGTTTTAACAATCTATCACCACAACGCACGAGGATAGTAAGCAATTTTCTCATATTTCTCATCAATATTTTCTTCATCCATCTGGGGGTTACATGGAGTGTGTTTACTTCAGTTCATTAAAGTTATAGAAAAAGCTTGACTGAATTGCTACCATATGCAAAGTTTAAGCTCAAGCAATTCGGTGAGGCATTGAATCAAACAAACACTCCAGAAACTCTATCTAATTTGAGTAAGAAGCACTCGTAACCAAAGATGAATCGATACAGATTAACCAAAATTGAAAACCCTAACTAAACAAAGTGAAATTGGTCAGGATGAACGTGGTTGTGGCTTTACTTATTAGGGTTTTGTTCTACAATTGAGAATATAAATAGTCATTTCATATCAGACTATAAGCATGATGTATTCAAGAAAATGTGCATTGCCAATAAAACAACACAATACCAAAACTAAAAAGTCACTTATGTCCGATTACCGTGCCATATGTTAGCATTACCAAAACAAGGCAAACAAAACCTCCATCTTTTGCAAGGTTGGTCCTCATCAGATGAGTGATGGCTTAACCCTGCCTCATGATCAGTGTCGTCATTCTTATGGGCATGGTTCTAATCGACGGACCTGTCTGTATCATCATACTCGTACGTTACATGCTCATAGTCAATCTTATAAACTTCTAGAAGATGTTCAAATTCTACAATATCAACTCCTGTTTTCTTTACCTTGAAATGATGATTATCCTTAGTTCCAAAAAATTATGCATGCACAAGAACAGTGTCGCTGCCTTTCAGTTTCAGCTTTTTGTATGAAAGATTTCCCAACCAAAGATAATCTTCACCTGAAGCAATTACGGTGGCATCCATTGGACAGATGGAAAACTGAGTTCGCTGGGTATGATTGGCAACATCAATGCATAGAGACCCAACACACTGGGATTCGTCTGAAGAATAAACAATGCACATCACCAATGCTCATATTTTACCATCAATACTTTGCGCCACTTCATATTTGACAATTTCACCTTCAGTTGTGACAGCGGCTAACCAGTAAGGAATTTCATTTCCAGAGGGAGAGAGGTAGGTTACCTTTTGGATGCTCTCCTTAAAAGGAAGAGTAAGGTTGGTGCACCCTTCCCTATGAATGTTTTGCATGTACCCTAACGAGTTATCCAAGTGTGGAATATCTTTGAGTTTGTGGTAGTCTTTTAGTTGCAATTCTGTCATTTTCGACATCTCTGAAAAGTCAGGCATTATTTCCAGTGCAATGCAGTAATTCGCTCTAAGCGTATGCAAGCTTGTCGGCAACTCTGGACTGCCTGAAGGTTTATGTAACGATTTAAAAATAACAACTGAAGCTAAGAAGGGCCACTCAGATGGATAGCCTATTAAAACCATTCCCATCTAGAACCAAAATGGTTAGAGAAGATAGAGCCCCAAAGATTTTCAAGAACTACATTATCCGTTATATTGTAGTCACTAAGATCTAAATAAGCAAGCATCTTCAGTTGTGTTAACGAATGGTAACCCACACACAAACCCTTGCAGCCTTTAAGGATCAATCGATGAATATGTGGGAGTTTTGAAAAGTCTGGTAATTCAGTCAGGTTATGGGAATGATTAAGAATAAGAAACTTCAACTTCTTGGGCAACTGTTACAACAAAAGAGAAAACAAAATTCAAAATCCAAATAAATAAAAGAGAGAATGCATGATTGATGTTGATTTTTACAAAATAAAGTTGTGGAAAGGATTGATAATTATATCATACCAGGTCGGAATCCTCCCAAACTCGTACAATCTTGTTGTAGCTCAGGTTAAGATAAACTAGGTTTCGTAGATTAAAATATGTGGGTATGGCTTCAAGAGGAAATCCATGCCAAGACAACAAGCTTAACTCTTTGGGAAAATGTTTGTAGCTTCCAGTCAGCTTTATATATTTGGGTAGGAGAAATTTCAGACACCACATCTTCTTAAATGCATCTGTACGGAAGCTATGCTTGTTAGAATATTTTGGAAAATCCAAAGTTAGTCCTCTAATTGCTTATGTTCCCTGTTTCGAGAGGTAAGTGCAAGTTAAGTAAGAAAAGGATTGTTCATATAACATAACTACATAGGAAATAAAAAGCATTAGATGTGGGATTGCATATACTTCTCTTTATATGCATTCAACATAACATTTCTGATTGTGATGTACTTACAGAGTTGTTACTTAACATGCTTGTTACATCTTCATGATGCCACAATCGACTACGTTTTCCAGGTTCCATAGCATATTCTGCCCACACAATTTCCCTTCCCATGTCTCGAATCAAATCATGCATCCTAAAAAATCCTCTATCAATATCTAGAAGACATCGATCTTGGAGAGTGTTGATTTTTGATTCTACAGAAAAGTTACTGCAACTATCCAATATTGCCATGGCAGTAGCTCTATGCCATCCAATAAAGAAAAAAGATATGTCAAGGAACACACACTTCACACGATCGTCACTTAAACCATCATAGCTTATTTTAAGCGTTTCATGAATAATGCCATATGGAATGTTTCTCAACCTATCCAATGTACTTTCCCATATGCTTTTACTCTTTTTTGTAGCCAAGAAACGACCTACAACTTTAAGAGCCAGTGGCAACCCTCCACAATAATCAACAACATCTCTTGTGAGTTCAATATATTCTTTATTGGGACAATGACTTCCAAAGGCATGCCAACTAAGGAGCTTAAGAGCTTCTTCATCAATCATTTCATGCCTTATATCTTTTGTTCACCTTATGTATATTTAACACTTGTTGATCTCTTGTTGTTATAATAATTTTACTCCCTGGACCAAATGATTCATGTTTTATAGCCAATTCATCTAATTGGTCTGCATCATCTATGTCATCAACCACAACAAGCACCTTCATGCTTCCAAGTCTTTTCTCTATCTCTTTGGTTCCTTCAACAACACTGCTTTCATTAATGTCAGGCCATTTTAAAATATCTTGAAGAAGTTGTTATTGCAAAACAACCATATTTTTCTTTTTACTCTTCACCTCTTCAAGGTAACATAGACCACTAAAACAAAGATGATATTCGCTACAATTGGCTCTTGCAAGTGTTGTTTTGCCTATACCGTCCATACCCTAAATTCCAAAAATTTGAACATTAAGATAGCCTCCAAAATCTAAGTATTCAGTACTGAAATCTTGCCCACGAAAAGCCATTCCAACTGAGCACTTAGCTTGTTTTAAGTCTGTTGTTTTCAGCAGTTCTCTGATGTCCCCAACAATTTTCTCTATAAACAATCCTTCATGCCTGAACGTTGAAATTCAAAACTTTACAAAAATAAGATTCATATGAACTAAATTCCTCATTCATCGTGACCAAATATTTTCAGAGCAAAGAAGATTTGAGTAAATTAGATTGATCCATGTGATTAAGTAAGCTAAACTCGACCAAATTTCTAACCTTGAATTATAAGGTGAGTGAATTTGAGCATCAAAATCTCACTAAGTGCTGGTTTGGTATTGTTGTGTTTTGAAAAAAAGTTGCTTCTGCTGTGCTGTGAGAATAAGCAGTTGTGAAATAAAGCAGTAAAATGTTTGGTAAACTTTTTTGTAAAAGTGCTTTTGGAAAGAAAAAAAAAAGCAGTATGATAGTGTTTGGTCAACTTTTATGTAAAACAGTTGTGATTGTGTGAAATGACCAAAATGGTATAATATTAGATGTGCTATGACAAGCCATGGCGTCGTTCCTTGGCAACCTCTTCCTCTTCGTCTTCCTCTCTCTCCTTATCTTCTCATTTCGCACGGTCGTCGAAAATAGGACCCACCTCCTAACCTCCTTTGTCGACCGCTACCCTTCTTTCAAATCCCTCATTTCCTGCCTCGACCCTGTTGGCGCCGGCAATACCAACCACCGCTCTCCCAGATCTCCAGCCGAGTCCCCTTCTCTAATCTCTCTCCACCGCCGACACCGCCCATTTCTTCACCTCACCCGCGTCGAAACCTTATACGACGATTTCTTCTCCAGTGACGACTACGACGCTTGCTCCCTCTTCGGCCCCAATCGAATCGCCCCAATCCTCATTTTCTCCTCCTCCTCTCACTCCACCTATAAATTAAGGTTTAATGGAACTTACGGGACTAGGGTTTCTGAAATTGTGCGCTCCAGCCTCATGTTCAAGGTTGAGAAATTCACCATTTATGATGACAGAGCTAGAGGCAGAGATGGTGACGGAGAAAGCAATAAAAGGGAGGAGAAAGGTGGCGATGAAGAAATGGATGATCGGGCCGTCGATTTGTAATTCTTGATCACCGGATTGGAGCTGGGTCATCGGGACGTGGCGACGTTGTTCTTCTTCCTGAGAGTGTGAGGAATCAGGAGAAACTTTGAAAATAAGCCACTTTTTGAAGCTGCTTTTTGTAGCTTCCACTTTTTAGCTTTTTTTTTTCATCTGAAACTTTGAAAAAAAGCTGGTTTGGGGTGTTTACCAAACACCAAAAACTCTCCCAGCTTTTTTTCATACTAGTTTTTTTTTTTTAAATCACCTCAACCCCAAACCATACCTAAGTCAGGTGCGAAAAAGCCAATGCTTCACATTTTGTCTATTTCATATATACCAATCCTTAGAAAAGACACTAGTGAATCTTGGAAAAACATTTGAAATACTTCCCGAAAGATGCACATAACTTTTTCAGGAAGCACTTCCTGGAACCCATAAAGATTTTTCCAAAAAAACACTTTTAGACATTTTAAAAGTACTTTCAAATGAACCATAAATCTAATTCATCCACAAAAGCTTAGCAACAATGCTCCAATTTTTTTCTTAATTACGTATAAAATTAAATTCTAAGAGCTAATTCTAATTTCTTACTTTTTGTCATACTTCGAATTAAATTTTGTAAAAAGGAATTAAAGATGCACAGTAAGATGGAAATACAATAATAAAAAACAAAATAAAAAGGAGAAATTTTTTAAGGAAGTAACGAAGAAATTATACCCGTCCGCCGTGATTTTAAGATTCCAGCCACCCAAATTTGCAGAAGCTTTAAGATCATTTCTCCACTGGTTGACCTCATTTGGATTTCCATCCCTTTGATGCTTCCGAAATGCTTCCCCAAAACCACCACTCTGTTTCCTCACTTGAGAAGGGTCAACGTCGTAGAAAATTAGAAAAACAATCTTCCCCTCTTGATCCTCTCGACACCTCATGATCTTAGCCAGCTCCCTCAAGCACCATTGGGACTCCGCGTACCTCTTGGAGAAGACGATGACAGCGATCCTCGACCCTTCAATTTGTCGGTCAAGTTCGCTCTATATATTTTCCCCCTTCTGAGCTGGTAGTCTATAAACATGTTGATTTCGGCATTGCATAACGCAATGGAGATGTGGTCTGTGAAGGTAATGCGTGTGTCGTCCCCTTTAAAGTGTACATCCAGCGGTTTGCACGCCAAGAAGAAGATGAAGAGGCGGCAACGGCGACGGTTCCATGGGCGGAGCTGCTGGTGTCCATCGAAATAATGATTTTCAATCTAATCCATAGAAAGAGATCTTCCTACTCACGTGACACATTGCACAATTTCATATAAACGTCAACCGAAGAGAAGCGAAAGCTCTGGGTAACGCTCGCCAGATTGTCGCCTGAGGATCTCAGTAAGGCGTTGGAGATTGTTGCGCAAAGTAATCCCGGTTTCCAGGCTACTGCTGATAAGGTGGACCTTGACATCGATGCTCAGGTAACCATTTTTGTAATTGATCGTCGTCTAACTTCTCATTTATTTGTATTTCCAAGTTGTTATACTGTATTCTTGCAGACTCAGTCTACCTTATGGAGGTTGAAGGTTTTTGTGAAGGATGCTATACAAGTTCAAGGCAAGAGTCCAGCAAGCATGGTTAGCAACACCAACACCAACAGCGGCAATAATAAAACTAATAATAACATCAGCAACGCTATTACTAGGTGAAAAAGAGAGATTTCTGACGCTATCGTCAAAACTACCAAGAAAAAGAGCAAAAAACCTTCTCCTTCATAATGAGCCAACCAGTCGGCCTCGGACTCGACTAAAAATTTTGAATCTTAACGGCTAGCTAACGTCAGCTAGTTGTTATTTTTTATTTTTTTGGGCAAAAAATTTAAAAAGAATATTTAATTAAGGCCCTGAAAGGTGATTGGTTCTATGAGGGGATATTGCCTTTATAAACATGTTTGATTGTTCAAACCTCTCCCACAATCGATATGGGACAAATATAATGGGTGCCTCAAATATGAGCTTCCTATTATAGATGATAAATGTGCATTTATACATGTAACTATCTCAAACTAAGTTGTACTAGTAATTGGACACTTAAATTAAAAAAAATTAATTTAACATACAACTGTTAACCGCCGCAAATAGACATGAAAGCGGTGCCAATTACTACGACGAAGTAAGTGTTTTCACAATTTATTTTAAATATTTAATTATATTTCATGTAATTTAAGTTGTTGTAGTTTTTGGAGATAGTAAGAAATATGACACTGCACTGTTCATTAAAATATTAATTTCTTGAAGGACCAGAGAACTAAAATGAGCCATCTGGCCAACCTTCGGTTGGAGATGGCCTTACACATTCTCAAGAGTTTGTTGTTTGTTTAAGCGAGTAAAAGTATTTATCCATACACTTTTTAAGCTTTTGTGTTCAATTTTTGTTTCCATAATATTGTTTGGATGAAACCACAAATTCCAACATATTATTTCTATGCTAAAACCCAAACTCCTGTTTACTGTTCATGAATAGTGAAATGGCGAAAATGCCTTCGATTTTGATGCTACTATCCCATTTGGTTTCCTTTTTTGTACAGCGTAATTACAGCCATGCCTTTTATTTGGTCTTGGCTGTTTAGTTTTTGGCCCTTTTTTGGGCAGTTATTGATTAAATAGTTAGGGCCAGCTATTGATTAAATAGTTAAGTGACCAAATTGGACTTCCTTTCAGATTTTTTCTTGGTTGCATTTGTTTTTGCTACAGCGAGAAGACAGTTTTGTCAAGCCCACGTGTTGGTCATGGTGTGCTGCTTTGTTTGGTTATATTTTCTCCCCTCTCATACGAATCTTTGCTTCTCAGTCGCTCTCAGAGCTTACATCCTTTTCCTCTAAAAAATCTCTACTTCGGGTTGTCGCAACTTTTACTCCAGTTGGTTTCTGTGGTCCTCCGGTTTTAACTTGCTCGGAAAATACTAAATTACTAAGGGCCTGTTTGGTACTCTAATTGAATCCAACTTTTTAAACTCAAAAACAATTTTCAAGTTTTAGGCCTTGAAAACTTGTTTTGTTCTATAATTAGGAAAAAGTTGAGAATTTTTCTTTTTTTGCTAATTAGGGAAAAGTTGAGAATTCCTAGTGTAATATACGTGAATTAGTTTTGTTGACCACAATACTATGTGCGTACTATTTAAAACTTTTGAGATTTGTTACTATTTGTGCAAAATTTATTAAAGATTCAGACCAATCAACGGGTACTTGTAGTATAAAATACCTTTATGTTATTATTATTTGAACATTTTGAGATTTATTACCATTTCTGTTATTAAATATTCATACCATTTAACGACTATGAACACATGATAGTGTATTAGCTTTTTTGTAAATATTTTGAGATTTGTTTCCTTTCATGCCAAATTTTATTAAAATTGCGTACCAACCAACAACTATGAGTCTAGAGCAGTATGTCTGCCTCTTTGTATTGACTATTTATAAATTCATTAAACATGTATACCAATCAACGGTCATAAGCCAATAAAAGTATGTGCGTCTCTTTGCAACGACTTTTTAAATATCTAAAAATTAGTTACAATTCATGCAAAATTCATTTAAATTTCTTATCAACCAACAACTATCAGTCGCCCACTACAGATGTTATCTAATAAAAACCAAAATCTAATACCAACAATTTCTAATAAGAAAGCAATTTATAACAAAATCTTAGTCCATAGAAAAACGAGGTAACAAAATCTATGATCCACATCAGACTGACCGAGTGAAAACAGGTCAAAGCGAAGCCGCCAGTCGTACGGCCCAAACTCCATAGCTGCTGAGCGCATGTGAGACAAAGGGAAGAAGAGAGATCGCCGCGTATATAAGCCACTTCCAACAACATCCAAGTGATTGTGTTTCGTCGTGTACCTTCAAGTCCCCACCCGTCCAATCAGAGGGCCTGCGCCGAATCACCCAATCCCAACCCGGATTCGACTCCGAGTCCCAAAACCGATTTCGTAAACCATTCGAATCGGCCGCGTAACGGTCGACCGAGTCTGAGTTGGGCTCGATTTCGGTGGAATTTGCGAATTGGGAGCTGAAATTGTTTCAGTGATTGGTGTTTGGTGGGCAAAGAGAAATGGATGTGGTGGTCGAGTGCAAGGTAAAATGGTTTGATTTATAGTGGTTTAATTCAAATTTTGTGGTTTGTTGATGCAATGTGGCTAATTGCATTCTGAATTGGCATTTGAGAGGGGAGGGAGAGAGGATCAAAGTGTCATGCTTGCTGTTCTGTATAATCGAGAGAGAGAGAGAGAGAGAGAGAGAGAGGGTTCAGGGAGGGACGGAGAGCGAGTGAGGAGGGGTGGGGGTGGGGTGTGGGGGGAGAGAGAGAGAGGGGAGGGATCAAAGTCTCATGCTTTCCGTTCTGTGTGGTCAAATTACTTGATTCAGTCATTAGTTTCTTGTATCGATCTGTGGTCCATAGTCAAAAGTTCACATGCATTTATGTGCGAGTGTATGTTGTTTTCCCTCCCTCTCTGATGTATGTTTAACCTCCAGAGAAAATTGGCATCCTTTCGAGTCACAGACCTTAAGGATGTTCTGACTCAGCTGGGTAGATCTAAGCAAGGGCGGAAACAGGTATGTTATTCGATATAAGATTGGTCTGCATTTGCCTATAGTTCTTAGATGTTTCTTGTCGCTGAAAATTGGTGGCTCTTAGCTTCTTTCTTCATTATTTCCTTATCTGCTCATGAATTTACTCACCTGTGCACTTCGAAAGGAGTTATTGTCTACAAAGGACTTTAATAACTGAGGCTTCGTATGCATTCGGTAGATGCCCATTTATGTTTACTTCTAAGCATGCGATCTTTGTAGTGATCTTTCACTTACAAAATCCAAACGACTGATAATAGTTTCTTTGAGTTCTTTACACGCGTGCTGTCCAATCAGTTTGTTTATCTATCATATTTTGCCAGTCTTGCATCGACATACGGTTTTACATTTTCTTAGTTTTCGCTTGTAGCTCCCAATCATACATCTTTGAACCACTTAATTACTCATTGTTATTAGAAGTTTAGGCAGTCTAATTTAATTCTTTATGTTTTCATCCTTGCTTAACAGCATGTTGAGAATCATTGACTCAAAACCTCATGGTTACTTATATCCATTGAGTGATAAAATGCTTTTGTTTTATCTAATTTTGTTACATGAGGTAAACTGTATTTTGTGATTGTCTTTTCTGTGCAGGATCTGATTGATAGAATCCTAGCAGAAGTTTCAGATCAACAAAGTAAGTTCTTCATACAACTTTGTCGTACCTACAATTAGTTTCAGAATCTGTCTAAAAAATGCAATAGTCATTGTCCCTTTTTAAAAAATGCAATAGTCGACTATGACTACAACCCAAGCAGTATTGCATCCTAATGTCACTTATGGCAGGTTTTGGTTAGACGTACATCCAGGGTGTCTAAAAATTTTACTCTGAAATATTTATCCGCTGACCTGGTTCTTGATAATTGATCAAATTAGATTAATCTTCTTTTACAGGGTTCTTACCACCATCCAATGCACTCCATCCATCAAAGAAAAAAATCATTGAGAAGAAAGGAATAGCAGAACTGATTGATGAAGCTTACAGGTGCTACTTTACTTTAGTGTTTTTGTATATGTTTTTTCCTTTTAAGGTATTACTTTTCCTCTTTTTAAGTTGTGCATTTTTTTGGGCTTATCCTTTATTCTATGAAATGTGTGTTGTGACAACTGATTACAAAAAGAAAATCTGTGATTTGACGCCCCTTCTTTTGTATTTCCTTGTATCATTTTTCTGTGTGTTTGGAAATCTTTATAATCATTCTCCTCTCTATCTAATGGCCTTTTGATTGTTATATTACTTGTCTTGTCCCAGAAAATTGCCGAATGCAGCATCAGCTGATTCTGCTTCAAAGGAACAGAGTGGTTCAGACACCTGCAGTGTAAAACCTAAAAAGGAAGTTAAAACTTTTAATGATCCAGATGTGAAGATTCGCTGCCCCTGTGGAAGTGCATTGCCTACTGGGTCGACGATACAGGTTCGGTAGCATTTGCTTTAGTTCATAACTTCATATAAATCCTTTTTAGTTTATGTGGTATTGGCTGGATATTTCTTCAGGCTTGCATGAATGTCAGGAGCATTCCAGCATCCATTTCATATTCAATTCATTGGTTTTTACAACAACCCGGAAGTATTGGACCATACCTAATTCCGGTATATGTTATCTGCAGTGTGTGGACCCAAGTTGTCAAGTGCAGCAACATATTGGTTGTGTTATTATCCCAGAGAAAACAGGGGATTGCAATGTACCAGTTCGGCCTCTTTTCTACTGTGAATTGTGTCGTCTCAAACGAGTAGATCCGTAAGTATCATGCATTTTTCAATTTTAACTTATTTGAGTCTTCAATCTGAAATGAACCATAGTTACAATTGGCAAAATGATATTTGGTTTGGCCACGTGAAAGGTAATCTTTATGATTGGTTTTCAAAGACATGATTGATGGTTGAAACAGGCGTTTACTTGTGTTAAAATGTCTTAAGTTCCTTATTTACTATGTTAGGAAGGTTATTGAATATGAACTCTACCACTCATTCAATTTTATTGACTTATGCCGGAACTTAGGTTCAATGTGATAAAGGTGTTTTTTATTTATCGATTTTTTTGGGTTAGCTCATCCTATTTTGCTTTAATTTTATTTCCCCTCCAATTAGTCCTTGATATTTTTGCATCTGTTCCAACATGCAGTTTTTGGGTGACTCTGGTAGATCTACTATCTCCGGTGAAACTAGTTACTTCAAATATTCCAATAGATGGGTAAGTCTCTCTCTCTCTCTCTCTCTCTAGTAATACATTCTGTTGTATTTTGTCGTAACATGCTCATCAATGTTTTCAGTACAAATCCTACTCAGAGAGTAGAGAAGACATTTCTACTTTCTAGAGCCAATAGAGATATACTAAAGGATAATGAGTATGATGTTCAGGTTTGTTTCATTTTGGTTTATGCAATAAGTGATGGTTATATTTATTGACCAGTTGTGGTCATTTATTGAAGATTTACTTTGAGAATTAGTTATTTATAAGTGTTTTTTTATACAGGCATGGTGTATACTTCTTAATGATAGTGTTTCATTTAGAATGCAATGGCCACAGTATGCAGATTTACAGGTCAATGGTATGCAATTTGGTCATCCTTTTCCATTCCTCCAATTGATTATGCTTAAATTTTACCTTGACAGTTCTTTCTATAAAAAATAAAACGAAATGTGACCACGCTATCTGCATTTCTCTGTCCTCTCTCTCTCTTTCTTCCCCTTACCTGTCTTTTCCCCTCTCCCTCTTTCCCTAAGAGATGTGCCTAAGAACTGTATTATTAGGTATGTCGGCTCGATTGGCCGACTTTTGAGATTGATAAAACGAAATTACCCTTTAAAAATCCACATGAAGCTTGCCTTGCAATGGTTGTGACCTCTATTGTTGTTATTGATATAACAAATTTGACGTTCTGCATCCACAAAATGTCTAAAACTGTATACGTGAAATACATACAAGTAGCTAGGCTAGTTATCAAGAATAAACTATTGCTTTTACTGAGTTTGTACTGGATGACCCATGAATTAAAGTTTTTGGAACTACAGGCCTACTATTGTTTTTCCAGTTTATTTTTGTGAAGGTAAATGCATCCTGAATTTCAACTTACATTTCAATTTGTTTCCTATTTGCAGGTATGAATGTTAGGACAGTTAATAGACCTGCACATCAATTGATAGGTGCCAATGGTCGTGATGATGGAGCATTAGTGAGTATTTCACTTCTGAGTTTTATATGTTTATAGTGATTGTCAATCTCATAATTCGAGGCATTTCACTTGTAATCCTTGCATTGCTCATTCGTGATAGAGATTAAGACTCATTCGTCATTCCATTAAGTATACATGTATTTTTGGACCACCATGCATTGCATTTTCCATTTTGCTGCAAAGTACTAGAATTATAGGGTTTAGGCATCTTGAATTGTTGTGCACTTCATTTGTGGCCATTTCTGGTGGTTGTTTTATAGTTTTCATATTACAAACATTTTAGTATTAAACTTTTCTTTTATATAATTAGATCCATGCACTTTAAGAAAATGTGCTTCAGTTTAATTTGATTTACTTTTTACTTTCATGTCAGATCAAATTATGCATTTGGGAGGGAATCAATAAGATTTCACTATCAGCATGTGATAATCGTGCTTTCTGTATCGGTGTCAGACTTGTACAGCGACGAACAGTTCAGCAGGTACATCCAGATTCTTTATTTAAAGTGTTTTTGAAAGAGAAGAACTAAGTTATGGAATATACGCTGGTGAGTAAAGCTGGTTAGCTCACTCAATAAGTTATGTGGATGGTACTTGTGGATGGATGAAATTATATATCTGTAATCTGCTGTCCTTGGCACTAGATTCTAAGGACACCGAACAAAAAATTCAGTATGTACATGAGAAATTCCCATAAGCATGAATACGCAGATATCTTTTATTGGACCATCGTAGAATCAAGGAAACATTATTGCCAAGAAATAAATCTGAAAATTTTGAGAATATCATTTTAGTTCACAGTATTAAATTCTGAGAAATACCTCAAGATGTTGAAAGGAAGCTAAACAAATCTGGATAGCATGTAATCTCACCAGCTTCGTTTCTCCTTTATTCAACTTTTTATCAAGGTTCGCAACTTGATTCCTAAAGAAGAAGATGGTGAGCTTTTTGAAGATGCACTAGCACGAGTTCGTCGTTGCATTGGTGGTGGGCCTGCTGTTGCAGCTGAAGATAGTGATAGTGACCTGGAAGTAATTTCAGACTCAATATCAGTAAATCTCCGCTGCCCTGTAAGTGATGGTCGTTTTCTTTTGATATTTTCAGACCCTTTAACTGCATGCCCATGTTAATGTTATTTAACTTGTTTCTAGTCATACTTGAGTGGTAGTTTTCGATCAAGTTTTATAATGTTTAGATTATTAGAATGCTAGGATGAAGCTTTGCATCTTGAGGCTGCCCATGAGCGGTAGGTCTCGGGTTCGAGACTTGGGAGCAGCCTCTCCATAAATGGGGGTAAGGCTAGCCGACATTCACCTCTCCCAGACCCTGCGTAAAGCGGGAGCCTTGTGCACTGGGTACGACCTTTTTTACACCTTGGAGGTAAACTAAGGCTTATATCTTTATTTAAAACTTCAGAAATGTTAGGGGTAGTCTGTATCAGAGGCATTAGGTCGGGTTTCCTTGTGCCTATCTTAGGAGTGCGGTCCACTGAAACCGTTAAGTCCTAGGGATGTCCTGGTGGTCATTCCTTTATCACGCCCATAGACCCATTGTTTCTCAGCATAGATCGGACCACCCTTTCTTCAAACTGGTTTTCTAAGACTATCTGTCGTTAGATCCATACTGACCATGCTTGCCTTCCTGCTGGCCAATTATAAGACCACAAAACTGGCCTTGGCCGATCGAGCAGTCAACAGGTTGGTCGATCCCAAAGAAAAATGTACAGCTCACAGTCCATAGCCATGAGCAGCGGATCACAGACAATGAGCTGCAATTTGCAGTCTGATATTTCATCTTTGGTCATTTTGTTATGGCTTATTTATAGCAATTAAGTTGATTTTTGAAAAAAATATCAGCAAGGTCGGTGTATATAAGCCTTGTTTGTAGTGTAGAGCTCATAATTAATGCTGTCTATGACATAATGTTTACATGTAACCGTCAGATGAGTGGTAGTCGAATGAAGGTAGCTGGCAGATTCAAACCTTGTGCCCACATGGGTTGCTTTGATCTTGAAACTTTTGTGGAGCTAAACCAACGCTCTAGGAAGGCAAGTGATACAATAAATTTATAAATTTTTATTTTTTACAAAATCTACAAATATGTAAATGTGTTATGGTTGCAGTGGCAATGTCCTGTATGCCTGAAGAACTACTCTGTAGAGGATGTCATCATTGACCGTTATTTCAATCGCATTACAGCTATGGTAATTTCTGTAAGGATTAATCTTATTTTATGTAGTGTCTCTGAATCTTGTGGAATCAAAGACATTTTTCGTTGTTTATCTGGTGGACAGATGCGAAATTGTGGAGAAGACATAACAGAGATCAACGTAAAGCCAGATGGTTCTTGGAGTGCAAAGACCAAAGGCGAGTTTGGTGATCTTGCGCAGTGGCATTTGCCTGATGGATCTCCATGCGGTGATAGTCATTTAGAACCCTCGAGGAAGTTGAAGCTGGAATCTGGTTTAAACGAAGATCATAGAGTTATGTATAATGGGGTTACTGAAGTTCGTGGGCATCAGCATGGCCCATTAGAGAAAGTATATGAAGGCTGCAGTCACAATGTAATAACAATGAGCAGCAGTGACTGCAGCGGGCACATGGATTTCTCTGTAAATGAAGACATGAAATCAATTCTGTACCATATAATTCTGATCCAACGTTTTCAAATATGAATGGTGATTCTGCTGAAGCTAGGAATACTGACATCATCATTCTTAGTGACTCCGAAGAAGAAGATGCCAACTTTGTTTCTTCTGGAACCCCGTACAATCCATTGCGAGTAAGTGGAACAGATTCTGTGTTCCAATTCTTTGGTAATGTCTCTGGTTCTTTCATTGATAACACATTGGTTCCAGAGGATCTAAATTCGAGCACCCAAGTTATGAACTCTTCTATGTTCCATGCTGATGCTGGATTGGACTTGATTGAAAACACCTTGCCCTTTGCTAGTGAGGACCCCTCACTGCAAAATTTTCTTCCAACTCAGCCCTCGGCTTTGTTGGAACAGTCTGATTCTGGACATCCTCCTCCAGAATCGAATGGCATTAGTGGGGACGACTGGATCTCTCTTCGACTTGGCAGGGTCGATGAAAGTGTTCCCAATTCCTGCCCTGGACCTGCATCCACAAATGAAGTACAACTGAGTAACGAATGTGAATCAGATGAAGGTAAAATTTTTGTCTATCTTTGTAATTGTTTGAACAAGATTTTACTTAATAATGAAATGCGGGAAATATAATATTGAAATGCGGGAAATATTTATATTATGTGTGATTGTAATAATGCTTCAAAAACATTGCCCGTTTTGATGCTTTTTGAGGCTGATGTTTCGTATATGAATCCTTTGCAGCTACTCCTTTAATTAAGGATAGAACTGATGAGGTTAGGTCTAACAAAGTAAAGTCGCGGAGATTTTCAGACGGGCCTTTCTCCTTTCCTCGTCAGCCAAGGACTTTGAGACAACGAGTTTATCTACCAGTAGAATCCAACTCTGAATAGAAAAAGTTGTTGCTTACAGAGGTACACAATTTAGTTTTCATAGTCTGCTTAGATTGTTGATTCTGAATGTTCTCGTATTTGTTTTTCATTTATTTATATAGGATAAGCAAACCCCTTCATGTTTTGTAAATTCAAGGTTTCAGCCATGCCTTACACTGCAAAGTTGTTTTTAAACCACCTTGTTTTGTGCTGAGCCGTAAATATATAACCCCGCTGTTGATGTGATGGACCCAAGTATCAATAATGTTGGTTTTGGCAGGTCGAAGTCTTAATTACCTAGAGATGCATCACAAAGTAGACGTCAGCTGAATTGTATGTGCATGCGTGCGTGTGAGCATGCTTGTCTCAGCAACCCTAGAGCTAGTTGCATTCTCTGACAGTTTAATTTGTCTTTGCAGGTAACTTATATACTTTCGACTTGGCAATTTTGTTGAAGTTGCAAAAGAATCAATCTCTATGCATATTTTTGACAATTCTGACATAGGGGAAGTTTCACCGTTGTAACATATGCAACGGTGCTCTTTTTGTGTCCGCGGGCTAGACCAACAAGGATTAAAACCTTTAGTTGTTTTACCATGCTGAGATGCCTCTGTAAATAGAAATGGTTCTATCTGTTAGGTTTTTAGCTAAGCAATGCTTGTTCCTCCTGAGAGTAGCAGTGAGGAACCGTTGCATTAGCGACGATGGTAGTTGGACTTACAGTAAAATTGCGAAATTTCGGTTTAAATGTTTGCCCAACCGTTTCCCTCTGCAAGCGGAGAGACGGGAAGAAGTGGTTGCCAAGAGTGAAGTATGCTAGAACGTCCATGGATTAGTGCAAGTGTTTGAAAGATATGGGATTCTGCAGCCTCCAGAATGTGATGCTTCTGCAATCTGGTTCGAATTTTATTCGGTAACGATTTGTGAGTTAGAATTTTGTATTAGGATTATGAGTAAATCAAAGTTTGTATACTAGGTGATTATCAATATTTGGAAAACAAAACAGCAGGGATTTGGGAACTGTTGATGCACAAAGTACGTCATCCCACCGCCAATTAACACCCGTCGCAGATGGAGTTCTCTGTCGTCGATGACACATGAAACGGGTGCAAGTCCGGTCACCTTCTCAATGATGATCGACTTTTGAATACATCTTCGGGTTTATATTCTCGATCTCTTGGTCTACTGGTAAACCAGATCGAAACACTTGAGACACTTCACTCCCTCGGTCTGAAATCTCATCTCTAAGAATTATGAATGTAGATGCTTGTGTGTTTATGTACAATTCTGAGAAGCAAAAAACATCATTAACTAATATTAGGTTTTCTTGGCTTGGGGAATTGCTTATTGTGTTATTCATAGGTTTTCTTGGAGGAGGCAGATTGTCTGCCCTCCTGTTTGGGTGTCATTCCTATCTCCTATTTGTAAGCTCACGGTTAAGCCACGTCAACATTTTATATTCTTATTGTTTTTTGTCTTATTATCTCTATAAAAAAAAAATTAATATAGAATGTTAACGTGACCTAACCGTAACCGCACAAAATAGGAGGGGATGGAAAGGACACCCAAACAGGAGGGTAGACAATCTGCCTCCTTTCTTGGCTCACAAGTAATACAATGCGTTTGAGGATGTGATTTACAAACCTATAAGGATTACTGCTCTATGTTTATGCAAGCACACTAGTTATAATATCCTATTTACAATATAAATTACTTTCAGAATAAAAACCCAAGAAGAGAGAGATAAATAAATTGAATTTTTTATTGAATAAAAGAATTAAAAAAGAACAGAGAAAACCCTAAGAACCTAAAGTTAGGTTTGTTGTCTCTCGTCCTTCCTTCCCCTCCTTCCTATACTCTTTCAGAGTCACTGTGTTCCCACGAACCTCTTAATCAACGCTTGTAAAGACACCTAAATTGCATAGGAGCTTTGTCACTTCAATACGGTTAATTGCAGAAAAATTTTGGATAAAACAAGCAAAAAAACTAGTCTGCAACAATGGAGAACAAGACAGGGAGATCCGTGGAGCGTTGATGAATTCTTCATGGGGAAGACGGTGACTATGAAGGGGTGGGGAAAGGAAGGAGGAGGAGACGACGACAGAAGTAAACGTGAAACTGGGTTTCATGTGACTAGCTGGATTTTAGGGTTTGTTCTCTTCTTTTTTCTTTTTGATCTTTTTAATTCTTTTCAATTAAACAAAAATTTAGATTATTTTAAATAATGTCACCATTCACTTTAGATGCCATCTATAAAGACTACATTAATATAGAATTATGATACAAACAGATGATAAATGTAGTTACGCATAAAATTATGATTAACACAACATTATTAGAACAAGGCTGCTGCTAGATTATTGCACGGGTCGACTTTATTTAAGGTTGCTGTATATGAGACTACGATCTATATGCAATAATCGAACTAATAACTACTTAATCTTGGGAGCAGCCGCCATAGCAGACGCCGACGACAATACCAACGGGAAGGCAATGGCAGCCAGAGCAGCAAGGGTTGCTGGTATCAGTGCATGCAGAGCCCTGGCAGCCATTGTTCTTGTTCACCACTCCACTTTCCTGTAGCATCTTCAATTCTGCGGTGGCGGCCGGATCTGTTGCTACGGCTGTTTCGAGTGTTTTCTCATCGTGATGACAGATAGCAAGGCTCCCCATTGGAGCCAACAAAGTCATCACAATTAGCACCACCCACATGAACTTATATTGAAACTCATTGTGCTATGCTCCATGATTTAAAGAATATAACTTTTATTACTATTCTATAAAATCATGATCGACCTTAATTTATAGCTGCGAATTTGGGAGAACGTGATGGTTACACTTAAAAACTTCTCCAGTAGTGTTTTACATGTTACGTGTGAACTAAATTTGTTTGAGTGTTTTTGTATATGTAGCTAGCTATACAAGGCTAAATTTAGCTAGGATTTATACATTGCATTAGTATATAGCTCCAACGCGAATATCACCCAAAATCCACGAGAAATTTATTGTGACTATAAAGTCTTCCTAGCATTACTTAATATGCATGCACATCCACTGCAAGCAAAACAGTGCCCCACTATCCCACCCAACAAATTTCCTCCCTTTCACCGGTTGTCGAGACCAAAAGTTCAAAACCCTAATTTACTACCAATTATTTTTCCTTTCTTTATAGATGGGAAGGGTTTAGGGGATTCATACTTGTAACTCTTTCGATATTTAAAAAATAAAAATAAAAAGCTACTAGATTAATCACTAGCTAGTTTTTGTAAGAGGAAATTAAATTAAAGAGAAAGAATCCTAAGAGAGTCAAGTTAAAACGCTTGTCTAGTACAGAAAAGAGACGAATCTAACCAAATACAATCAGTGACATGCTAATGCTTGGGCGCTAGCTAATTGGTAATTACTATCAGCATGTTGATGCACAAGAATTGGAGATATAGAAATAGGGTAACCTGGGTTGTATCTTTTAGGTCTATTTGTCCCACAAGTAGTTCTTATGGAGTATTTCAATGGACACCCAAAGTTCACCTTTGGACACCTTAATTAGTACATGGTTTTTAGGTATACTTTGATCCTAAGTAGCACAACATTTTCAGTTTTGGCCTAATCTCCCAGCAAGCAAAACGCCACAAGAAAACCAAACTGAACTTCATAGCTCCGAATAGAATATGTAAATTAGACAGCAACAGAACATAATACAGCCAACAGGAACGTATACATGTATGTATATATTCACGATTAACATTAACCATCCATCGGACCGGTACCTATAGATTAATTATGATTGGTGGCAATGCATTCATGCATGCAGATTAATACATGGATTTTTGCACGAAGTAATATAGTGAATGATACAGAGATAGAGCTTAGCAACATCACTGCAGATGCCAAAGGGCAAAAGGTTAATGGGTACGCAAACACAGCCGAGCTGACAAGGGGCCACAAAAAAAATGCATAGGGAGCCCCTACACCCATTGATCGTCGACTCTCCTCCTTCTCCTTTTGATTTTCATTTTGAGTTTAGCTTGTTCATCGTCCTTGACATGATCAATTCCTCACTATTTCTGCCCTTCTCATTGTTACAAGTACTTGTTATAACCACCCCACTGCCATCGTTGGGATCTGTCGTGGCATCACATTTGTCGTAGACGTTGGCGTCACATTAATTTGGCGCTGATCTGTTGTTGTCGACACTGGCATCACATTTGGCATCAGTAGTGTTTTACATTAGGCATCAATATTGGCATGAGTAGAATTGGATTTGGGCATTTCAATTTTCTTTTGGTCGCCAAAAGCAGTTGGAGGATAGCCTGGAAAGGTCACGACAAGAACCACCATGGCCACTATCAGAAAACATGCCTTCTTACTCATCGCCATAGCCATTTGTGTGTTTGTTTTGTAAGTAGTTCTTGTATGCATGCACGCCTCTCCTTCGAAAGCGCTTATTTATGGCCATGAATTATGAAGATAATAACCAATTATAAGTGCATTATTCGTGAGGGAAGTAAGATTATACCATACGGCAGCCTAACATAGATACCATGTCGACAAAAACAAGTAAAAGAATAATATCCATGCAATCTTCGTGCATGCATTCTTTTGTTGTTGTGGAAACCAACTACGCCATGCATCTTCCATTAAAGATGTTATTAGAGGACTAATTTCATGAACAACCTCAAATACTTTGAGCTAATTATTCCATGTGTACTTTATATTACTCTACAAACATTGTGTTTCGTTGGATTGTTGTAGTAAAATAATTTTCGCACACTCATTCATAGATATTACTCTACAAACATAGTGTTTCGTTGGATTATTGTAGTAAAATGATTTTCAGGCAGTTAAGGCTCACCGTGGGCATTTGTCATGCCCCTCTAAAGTTTTGTGGGGGAAATAAATTGGGATGCATATAGAAGGTGTAGAGAACATATTGACCATATATTATTCCTACTCTTCTAAATGATACATACATATAATAATTAAAAGGTATGTAAGTTGAATTTACCATAATTTTAATTAGCACTTTAATTGACTTTTAGTTGATATTTTATTATGTAAAAAAAATAAACCAATCAATGTAAAACAAAGTGGTGGCTTAGTGAAGTTTGAGTGGAAAAAAAGAAGTTATAAGAGATATTTTATATTATGATGAACTTTTTTTCTCATTCATAGATTCATAACTAGAGGATAAGGTAACTCTTACTAAAGAATGTTGAGAATGAATCTCACATTAATGAGAGGACATATTTTGTATGGGTTTATAAGAGTTGGGCTACTCCTCATATAGCCAATTGATTTTATGGTGAAACCTCAACTTTCTTCATGGTATCAGAGTAGATTGTCTCATCTGTGAAGTCCAACAGTCACACACGCTCCATGTCACCCTATTTGTGTTATCCATGTATTCGGTTTGAAAATTCGCCACATGTGAAGGGTCGTGTTGATAATGAATCTCACATTGATGAGAGGAGGGACTTTGCATGGGCTTATAAGAGGTTGAGCTACTCCCCATATAGCCAATTAGTTTTATGATGGAACCACAATTTTCTTCAAAGAAAGTTTCCAGCTAATTCCATCCATGCACCCATTAGACAATTAGTTTTATGGTGGAACCATAATTTTCTTCATAAAAAGTTTCTAGCTAACTCCATCCATGCACCCATATTTTTCATCCGCATGTCTTTATTTATTTTTGAACTTTGAATTGAATAAATCAAAATATATTCAAAAGAAAAAATAAACTGTGAAGAAGGAGAAAATAATGTTCGAATCCTTGGGAGGGTCTGAAGGCACAATTTGCCTGTCTCATAGTTCACCGTAAACTCCGGACTTGGGATTCGACATTAGACCTTGAACCCTCACCTCGAACCCGAACCTACTGGGACTCAATACATACCTTGTTCTTGAATTCCAAACTCAACTCTCAAACTAGTCCAAGATTCGAGCTTGTGCCTCCAGCCCCAAGTTCAGGTCGTCCTAAGTTGATCACTACTAAGTTGCATTCATTGTTTGGAAGAACTACTCATTTTCTTTCAATCTTTTTACAATATATGAAGGCTACAAGGATCATATGGAACTCTGGCATTCCGTTAAATCATTGGAGCTAGAAGAACCCACAAAGAATAATACATGCATATACTGCTAGGTATAATTAGTGTACTCACCAAATTTATTTACTAAATTTTCTTCTCCAATATGTTTCCTTTCATGCACTTTTATCCATTTAATTATATATTAATTTGATTTAATTAGTTGCTACAACAAATTCCTGCGCACAGCCCAATAGGCAAAATTCCGATGGGAATGCAATAACACCCACTCTTGCAAGGGAGCAGCCACGCATTGCATATAGAACCTTTACATCCATTGCTCTTTCCAACTCCACCACCTTCAGCTGCCATATTAATCCTCTTGAGACCGGAAAATCGAGTCACGCTATGATTGGGACTCTCGTTGTTACTGTTACTTCTAGTAACACCA